GGCTCCGCCGCAAGCCGCCCCGCTGCCGTGCGCGCCGGGCCCGTCCTTCGGGGGAACGGGGCCCCTCGCAGCGCGCCGGGCCGCAAGCGGGAGGGCTGGGGGCCGGCCCGGCCGAAGAAACGCGCCGTCGGAGTCAGCAGCAGCACCCTGGTCCCCGCGGCGAGGTCCGGCTTCAGCCTGAGCCGGTCCTGCCCTCTGCTTTGGTCTGGCTCGCTCTTGGGACCTGATCTGAAACTCGGCGGGCGTCGGTGCTGGGGAGCGGTCCCGGGAGAAGCGCTCCGAAGGCCGGATTAGCGTGTGCCCTGCGGCACGGACCCAGCTGCCCCAGCAGGCCGGAATGGAAGCGTTCCCCAAAACCTGGCAAAAGAACTAATGAAACCAAAGGTTTGGGGTGTATGAAAGCCTTTGAGAAGAGCTCAACCATTCTGTCAGTGCTGGCCGAAATGGGCCTGACTGACTTGAAAGATTTTCAGGGGAAAGACGCCTGTGCAACGTTGTTGAAAAATCCCCTTTTCTGTAAGAAACTAGACTTAATTGTATCTTAACCTGCCGAGACTTCTGCAAGTTGCTTTAACCCGTAAAATTGCAAACAAACTTGAATAGAAAACCAGTGCACAATGCAACGCTCATGTCAAAACGCAGGGCCTTCGTCAGCTATGCCATTACAGAAGGAGAAATAGGAACTAAAAAGTCTTAGGATTTTCGTGTTGCTGCCTCAAATACAGGGCTGTAGCTAGTGATGGCAAAGATGTGGGCTAGCAGCGGCAAGCTCCATGCAGAACAGTGATGAAGCACCACTGGGGTTTGATTAGATGTAGCTACAAAGAAAAGGGTTTAGAAAATAATGTGTTAACAATAAGAGGCAAACTTAACTCTTTGAACGCCAACAGCAAATTTTCCTTTCTCTTAACTCGCATAATCCTGTGGAATTCATGGGCTCCCCACTTACAACTGGGAGAAGAAACCAGCTGTTTTGTTGGAGGTTTTGTTGTTTGGTTTTTTGAACCTCTTGTTGGCTTCATTCTCCTGAACCACAGAATGATGCTGTTCTTGATGGTATCAAACAAATAGTGACACCTGAACATGGATTCTTCCCAATTTGTTTCAGCAGATCACAAGTATGTGGAATTTGACTTCCTTATCAATGGCCAGTTCTTGCGTATGCCACTGGTCACGCACATGGAAATGGAAAATATCTCCACAGTAAGTCATACTCAATTTCTCCCCATCTTGGACAGTAGAACAGACTTAGCCAGTTTACTTCAATCTGATTTAGGTATTACACTGTCGTCCTGACTAGGTAGTTTTCCTTGCTCAGTTTTATTTCTTTTCTAACTTTCCCAGGAGGATTCCCTGTATGTTTAAATCTGAACATTCTGAACTGTGTGAAGTGATTAGAGAGCATGGGATTGAGCAGTGCAAGGAACATCATTATTCCGTCTGTTGTCTGTGTAGAGATCAGAGGGGAAATTCTTGTCTTACTCAGTTAATCATTAATATATTTTTGTCTCCTACTCTATTAGTTACATTGGGGGATAATGGAGGAGGTTAGTATTACCTCTAGAAAATGCTGTGAAATATTTTAGACACCAGTGTTGTATGGGTAAATACAGAAGAACCTGAGAAGACTGGAATTGCTTGCTTTTGCTTCCAGCTTGCTATTAATAGTCATTTGATAAAAATATGGAAAGCAGTGTAATTCAGACACTTTTTTCTAAAGGCTTTAATTTCATTCATGTGGCAAAGGACTTGGGTACCAAGATCTTTGCCCAATAAACTTGTATATTTGCACCCCACTACAGTTAAATATTACTGTTATTGATTTAAAAAATTTAAAAAATCACACTAAATAAGTATTTTGTCTGTGAGCTCAGGAAGAAGTGGTGGAAATAGAGTATGTGGAGAAATATATGGCCCCTCAGCCAGAGGAATGCATCTTCCATGATGACTGGATCAGTTCTGTTCAAGCCACTGAAGAATGGTACCACACTAAGCCGATTCTCAGTTTTCTCTTGGTTATTGCTCTTGTGTGCAGAGGACTCCATGGTGTCAGATGGAGTGGTATTCTGTCTCTTTAATAATCTGTTGGGTTCCCCCCACACACACCTTTGCTCTGATTTTGGTGGTGGTTTGTTTGGTCTTTTAAGCTGCCAAGTCAGTCAGCTACTTGCTTTTGTAAGCAGTTCAGTTTTAACACCTCTGTTCTATGCTGACAGTGACTTTAACACAAGTAGAAAACAGCTAGAGTTACTGAGCATGAGATACTGTTAATAAAAATGGATAATACAAATGCTGTTTACTATCCTTTCTCTTAAAAGACAGCAAGATTTCCTTACCTCTCTTTAGCTTAAACCCTTGACTTCAAGCGTGACATTCATTAGCAACAAATATAATACTGTACCTTTATGCAGAGCTTTTCTTTAAAAAAACCCAGCCAACCATAATTGTCCTTTTTTGCTGTATTTTTACATACACTTTCCAATCAACTAGGCAATGTTCCTTTAGCAACGTACCATGAACAACAAATTATCTTTTCTTTTAAATGACATAAGGAATCTTAAGTCTCACATACCAGAATATGCAGTACTCCCATTGCTTTTCTTTTTGGCCTGTACTAGCATTGCAGTTGTAGGTTTTAATGGAACTTTGCTCTGTAACAAAAAGATTTTTTTACTTTTGCAACCTTCTTTTTTTTTTTTAACTACATGAAGTAGCTATATTTTGAATAATTTCAGCTAACCAGTTACTATGCTAATATTTTTCCAAGTTTCTGGCTGAGGCTTTTTTTCATAAAAACATTGTTGGTTTTAAAGACAGTAATGTTTCAAATTCTGTACCCTCTAGGATATTAACTGGCTGCTATGATCAGACTGCTCGAATCTGGTCTTTGGAGGGGAAATCCATCATGACAATAGCTGGGCATACAGAAGTAGTGAAGGATGTGGCATGGGTGAAGCAAGGTTAGTATATATATTAGGGCAGTAGTAACAGTTGGATGTATAGGGGGAAAAATGGCAGTACTCCTCTATCTATTATTTAAACAATACAATTATTTTGATGTCTTGTCAGTGGTGTTAGAAATGAAGTCATGAGTGCGAGTAAAATAGTCCTTTAACAGTAATGAGTATAGTTAAAACATGTACGTTGTCTATCCACCTTGCAGGCTTCGTTAGCAAATATTGATATGTATACTTATATTAATTGTACTTGCAGGGTAACATGATTTAAACTGAGATACATACGAGTTTCTATCTATCTGCCATTTCTTCTTTGACTAGAATAAGTATATGTAAAGACTTTGGAAAGCTGCGTTTGGTGTGAGCATGACTTTTTTTTCTTCCTCAGATAGTTTATCGTGCCTGTTACTCAGTGCTTCTATGGACCAAACTGTCCTGCTATGGGAGTGGAATGTGGAGAAGAACAAAGTGAAAGCCCTTCACTGTTGCAGGGGACACGCTGGCAGTGTAGACTCCATAGCTGTTGATTGCACGAGAACTAAAGTGAGTGACTCCTGGAAAGAAACCTTTGTCTTTTGCAATGTTAGCAGCCTGTATCTCAAAAATCATCTTTTTGCCCCTGCATAGGTACTAGTCACCATGCTATTATGACTGACACACTGATAAGTTTCCAGTCTTGTTATAAATGGTGGTTATTGAGGTATTAGGAGTGCTATATCAACGCTAGGCTATCTTTTCAAAGTGATGCACTTAACCTCTAGTATCACAAAAAGCTGAAGGTGACTTTAGATAGCACAAGCCATTATACTGCTGCTTTTGACTTCTGTGAGTGAATTTGAATGTTTAAATAAATGCTACCTTTAATGCATATGAATTTTGTGTTATAATGAACTATTTTCAAATTTGACCTAAATTTTCACAGTATTTTTGGTGTGAAAAAAACTTCCAGAGTGATACTGAGAAAACGCAGGTGGTAGAAGATGTTCTTTCCCTTTATCCAGGAATTCAACAGTTAAGAGCATTCACACCAAAGGTGGAGTCATTGCTCCCAGCTTGGCTCAATATCAGACATGTTAAAATAAAACCTTTTGGTGCTGAAGGAAATAAAGAGATATTTTGTAGGTATCTTTCCTGCAAAGGAAGGAAAAAGAATAATTTGATCTATACCAAACTTTTTTTTTTTTTTTTTGAGCAGCCCAGCACATTTCTTCATGTGTTATAACCAGTTGGTTGATTTGTCAAGCAGGTAATGTATTTAGTATGGCTTACAAGGTCTGCCTGGATGAACTTTTAACAAAATGTTTCTGTTCATACAGTTCTGCAGTGGATCCTGGGATAAGATGTTAAAGATCTGGTCTGCAGGTAGGATAAACCTAAGTTGGGATTCTTGGCTTTCTTAAAAAAAACCCTGTACTTAGAATAACCTGAAAGATGGGTATCTGAATACTTCTTTCTTTAAGAAGATTTGAGTCTGTAATATTAAAAGCAAGCTAGAATTTTTTTTTTTTGTAAGCTTTGTAAGGCTATACATTACTATATTAAGTTACTGTTTTGGTTGGTAACACAATTTCAGATACAGTTATCAACTGTGTGCTGATGTTTATTTTATTCAGAAAACAGTACTTCATCTTTTTCATTTACTTTTTAATGGATTTATATAAATGTGCAGGTTTGAGTGTGGACTTCTTACAAATCAAAAGTTTGTGGGTTATTTTCCTGTTCTATTATTGACACCATAATATGGAGGATAATAAGATGACCAGGTCTTTTCTAGAAATGTAGACTAATCCCATTTGATCTGAATGCTTTCTTTCACTGTTCCAAGTCACATTCTTTCAGTTTGGGAGTATATATGTAGGTATTGTATCTAAAAGAAAGATTGTGTTTATCGCACACCTGGATTACTGTTGAAATTTTCCATGAGTAAGGATGGTCTTAAAAACCTCATTGGGCCTTCATTTTAAAACTGCCTGACCTGGAGAATATCACTTAATTTGTATTCATTTTCCTCTTGCTCAAAATGGAGATAATACTGATCTTATCAGAGGTGTAAGGTTAAAATACTCATGCATCATAGACAGATTAGGTACTGTAAATACTGGGTTTTGCTTCAGTCTATGGAAACGCAATTCAAAAACCTCTAGATCAAGTCTGACTGTCTGCTGTCACAGTACCTACAGATGAAGAGGATGAAATGGAAGAAGCAGCTAACAGACCACGGAAGAAACAGAAAACTGAACAGTTGGGACTAACAAGGGTAAGATGAGCTCCAGGTTTGTCCAGGATTTTATTTTAGAAGTGTGGCCACACAAAATAATTTCTCTTTGTTAAAAGCGACTATATGAAAACTTATGGTGATGTGTCTCAGGCTGATCAGACATGTATTTTTATTTGTTGAAAGAACAGATTTTTTGACAATATTCAGTCTAATCTCCTCTCACCTTTAAATTCTAGACTCCTCTGGCAACCCTCTCTGGCCACACAGAAGCTGTGTCCTCTGTGCTGTGGTCAGACACTGAAGAAATTTGCAGTGCGTCATGGGACCACACCATTAAACTCTGGGATGCTGAGACTGGAGATCTCAAATCAACTTTGGTGAGATCATTATACTTTGTAGGTTCAGCTGAAGTCCAGCTCAATGAAAAAAGTTGTGCAAAATAGTAGCTCCTCTCTTAAACTTAATGTTTTCTTTTCTGACAGACAGGAAACAAAGTGTTTAATTCTGTCTCTTACTCACCACTGTGTCGGCGCCTCGCATCCGGGAGCACTGACAGACATATTAGACTATGGGATCCTCGTAGCAAAGGTGAGCTAAAACATGCATGTTCTCAAAGTAGTTTTTTTCAAAATCGGAACTTCTCCCTGTTGGGAGATGTCTCACAAACTGTTTTCTGGTCCTTCTGCTTGAAACAAGCCATTTAGGGGCTTTTATTAAATACAAAGATTACATCTATTTTCTGTAATCTGGTGCAAGACTTTTTTTGATTTCTCACCTAATAATTCAGAAAACTAACTCCACTTAGGTTTTCTATGTTTTGGGTTTGGGTGTGGGTTTTTTGTTTTGTTTTTTTTTTTTCAAACTTACTAATGACTGTTCAACTGTGCAGTCACAGGCCTGAACTTTTTTTTGTTTTTGCAAGGTTCACACCTAAGTTGGCTGGACTATCATTAAAGTGAAATGTCATCACTTTGTTATGATATAGGGGTGCCATGTCTGACAGGACTGCGGATAACTTATGACTGAGCCTACCAGATTTATTTCATAGGCATGTTTACTTGTTTAGCTTCTATAAATCTAATCCAGAATTTAACAGTATTCTTTTCTTATATGTTAATAATAGAAGCGGTTTTTTGTTTGCTTTTTTCAAAAGTCTTTGAAAAGACAGTTTAGTGACAAGAAAATACATTCCGAGTTTTGTTTGGGGTCCTTCCCCTCAAACTTGTGTGGCTTCTATATTTGTTTGCTTTCTTTAAAGTTCACTTCGATTTTTGATGTTAGAATTACTGGTGGAAGAAACACTTACCTTGAACGCAAATAAGTTGCTGACTGCTTTTCTCACTGGGTTTTGTATGGATCTTAAAAGTGCTGGTTTCAGTTGGCATCTACTGATGTCTTCTTTTTTTTTCCCTCTTTTTCTGTTCAGATGGCTCCTTGGTTCTCCTGTCTCTGACATCTCACACAGGCTGGGTGACATCTGTGAAGTGGTCACCTACCCATGAGCATCAGCTGATCTCTGGTTCTCTGGACAACATTGTGAAGCTCTGGGATACAAGGAGGTAAAATAAACACGCGTTCTTTGCTGTTCAAAGGCATGTAACCTTACAGGGTCAGTTAACCTAATGAAATAGCAAAAGCAGTCCAAGACATTCATTGAAAATTCCTGTAGAATTTGTGAAAATCCTTTAGGTTTTAGGAGTCAAGCATTTAACAAAAGGGAGAAAAATATTTGTAGTCTACCAGAGGACCTGTGGCTTAACATCTGAGCGAGCTGTATCATGTTCCAACACAGGACTTACCTGGCATTAACAGCAACATTGATTGACATGGAGAAGGCAGCAACCATAACATTGCTACTGGGATTAGGAACAGCAGAAGGTCTGCTAACCATTCCTCCATTTTACAGAACAAGATACCTTATTTTAGTAAGGAATGAGCCTAACTGTGAAGTTTCACTTGATACTCTTTTCAGACCTTCCATTACAAGTTTCCAAGCAATTAAATGGTTTGCACTCAGAAGGCATAAATGGCTTTTCTGGAAAACACACACAGTTGAGCAGCATCCACACATGGAATAAGGAAGCTATATAGTAAAATATTCCTTACAAGCAGATTGATTAAATTTCAGAGTCAACGTAGTTTGCAAGCAGGTGAAGAATGTTGCTACTTTTCTCTTTGCAGATGTAGGAGAGGTTAACACTGATGTCATCAGCTCTGGAGAAAGCAGAGAGAACATCACAGATGGTAGAGAGTACAGATAACTCTCTGAAAGTGTTTATAACTGCTAGACCACATCTGTTTAGCATTGTGATAGTATTTCTTCCAGGGACCAATTTTGTTTTCTGTGATTGCTCATATAACTTCAAACATGTGACTGTAAATACCTGTGTTTTACCAGTTGCAAAGCTCCTCTGTATGACTTGGCTGCTCACGAAGACAAGGTTTTGTGTGTGGACTGGACAGAAGCAGGGGTAAGAGTCTGAAGAGCAAGTTACTCAATTTATATGCATGGTTGTTAGGAAGAGGGCTAAAAGCAGTCATGGACTGTTTTTTCTTTTATGCTTAAAGATAGAAGAGAACAGGAAGTTTTAGTTGTGCTATGGTTGATACTGGGTTGATAACTGGGTGTTGTTGTCATATACGCTGCAGCACTTCCCATGCTGCTGTGCAAAGGAGTAGGATGGGAGTTTGTCATGGTTTAACCCTAGCCAGCAACTAAGCACCACACAGCTGCTGACTCTCTCCCCACCCCTACCCCCCCCGCCCAGTGGGACAGGGGACAGAATCAGAAGGAAAAAGGTAAAACTCATGGGTTGAGATAAGAACAGTTTCACAGAACAGAAAGGAAGAAACTAATAATGATAATAATAATAAAATGACAATAATAATAAAAGGATTGGAATATACAAAACAAGTGATGCACAGTGCAATTGCTCACCACTTGCTGACCGATGCCCAGTTAGTTCCTGAGCAGCGATTCTCCTGCAGGCCAACTCTCCTGAGTTTATATACTAGGCATGACATCATATGGTGTGGCATATTCCTTTGGCCAGTTTGGGTCAGCTGCCCTGGCTGTGTCCCCTCCCAACTTCTTGTGCCCCTCCAACCTTCTTGCTGGCTGGGCATGAGAAGCTGAAAAATCACTGACTTAGTCTAAACGCTACTTAGCAACAACTGAAAACATCAGCGTGTTATCAACATTCTTCTCATACTAAATCCAAAACATAACACTATACCAGCTACTAGAAAGAAAATTAACTCTATCCCAGCCAAAACCAGGACAGTGTGTAAGCTCTGTAGCATTAAGTAGGTGTTATACTGATATTCCAAACAAGGAGAGACATGAGAACAGCACCACACCTTGCTGAGGAAATATATGTTCCAAGGTACTGTTTGCTGCCATGGTGATTAAAGCAGCGGCATGAACTGACAGCTGGGGCATGGTAGTACAGGTGGAAGGGGGGAAACTATATAATCCTCTATAGCAAGCTGTTCTGCTACTGTAGTGGTACACACGTGTAAAATGGGAAGAATTGTTAATGTCAAGATTCTCAGTGTGGCTCCTGTTCTCAGTAAAAGGCAAGAAAAGCTTTAGCAATTTTCCTGCAAGAACTTAGCTTCTAACTTCAGGAGGAAGGTAGGGGACAACATTGTTTCTGCACTTTGATTCTGGGTTTTAGTCATGCAGTAACAGTTCATTATTTTTTACTACTTTTTATGTATTCAAAGGGGAGAAAAAATTGGAGTCCTCAACTTTTTTGTAAGTTTTGCTTAGTTCTGGTATTAATCAAAGTTTTCTTTTCCTCTCATCAGCTGCTATTGAGTGGAGGTGCAGACAACAAACTGTATTGCTACAGATACCCAGCTACAGCCTCTGATGTTGGAGCATGAAGGTCAACAGCCAGAAGAATTTTTTTTTTTTAATATTTTTGCAGCAGTGGCTCTCTGTTAGCATCCCTACAGAACCAACATCTGAAGAGAGTTTTTTGTTGCTCAGAGAGCTGTTCCTGGTTTTTGTGTTGGTAACCCGTATCCATATTTGTCAAAGAAATATGGCAACAAGCAGTTACAAACGTGTTTACTGTGAAACAAAGCAAAGGGTGTTTCCTCCTTTTTGATGCCTTTGAATTAACATCTTTTAAATGACTATTTGTATAGCCCTTTAATAAGGAGTAACTGTTCTTAATACATACAGAAAAATTACTCACTGGACTAAATTATTTTTTGAGTTTCCCTGCTTTCCCTTGAAAAAAAATAAAGCTTTTATGCTATGGTTCATTGGTTTAGTGCCTCACTGCAGATAAAAATCAGACTTCAGCTCACCTTTCAGTATGCCTCTTGGCAGTTCTTACAATTAGGTCCTTAACTGATGAAGCCAGGCTTCTTTCTAGGATGAAGATGTAGTATGTTTGCAGTGCAAGTGGTATGATATAAAGGAACATGACAGATCTACTGACAGATGAAATACTCAATTTTTTTTGTTGCTCATAAGTCAGGGCTGTAAATTACTTTATATAATGTGCCTGCCTTGTGCCACAGTACACGTTATGTTGCAGTACAACTGATGTGATATCTTACTCCTAAAAAGCAGCAGATGTATAGAAACAAGTGGAGGATCACAGAGAAGGCAGAAGAAAAACTAATTTGTTCCTAGAAAGAATTGATACAAAAAGTTGCCATAGCTTTTAGGTTGATAGAGGATAAGTACCATTCAAACATGCTCATTTTCTCTGCTGGTCGTCTTGCTTTTAATTCAGCATTTAAATGAAAAAGCTATTACTACAGTTTGTGCTGGTTTAACATCACATACATGGCATCTGACATAGTTTAACAATGTGGAAACCAAACTTGAATATCCCCACTAATGTCTTAGCTTTCAATAAATTTAAGACCTGTACAGCACAACCAAGTCAAATGCTTAAGTTACAAGGTTAATAATTTTTCTTTGAAGAGTGAAAACTCTTCATAAAGAGTATCCATATTGTAAACCTGGATGTCCAGGTTTACAATATGGACAAGTTCTGAGTAAGCCATTCAGGAAATACCTAAGCAGCAAAACCATAGAGAAAACAGCAAGGGTGCACAGGGGAAGCATTTCTGATCCCTTGGCTCTGCAAGTAATGTACTGCAACTAATAAACTAACCTTTATTTACAAATTCTGCTTACAAGGAATTAGTTGTTTTGCTATCATCTTATTATCCATGTGCATGTTCTTAGTATGTGCTTCATCCTTTCTAAAGCAATATACACTATTCATACCTTAATATAGCATCTAATTATATTTTTTTTCTTATTTAAACTTTCTTCCTTTAAAACATTGCCTTCTATTTACTCCACAAACTGGAACTTACAAATATGGTGTGAATAAGTATTTTGTTTTGTAAACCTACTGAAAATACAAAGCATTTTTTGAGCAGGAGTTTAGTATGTGCTGGAACATGCAGCATTCCTTCCTCACCACTATTACAGATCTATATAATTTCACATGCACATTTGTGGATATGCCAGTCTGCTCTAGCAATCATTGGCCTAGTAGTCATAAAAGTTTAAAAAAATCTCTAATAATTTTTTAGTATGAAAACAGAAGAGAGTAATATCCCCTTTAGGTAATCCTTAATCGAGTATATCATCTGACTTTTGAAGGTCTTAACCAAGTAAAGTTGGGAGAGGTTTTTAGTGGAAAGCAAGACAGTGAAGGAAGTTTGGAAACTAGTTTGCTTCACTTGTCTTCAAGACTCCCAGTGACAATTTAATCTAAAGTCTTGAGCTATTCTGTGCATTATATGAAACACCCATTTTATTACTCTTTTCAGTTTTTCCTTCAGATAAGTTATGCTTGAGCATAGCTTTTAGAATTACTGTAGTATTTCACAGATAGCTGTGCAGCACCTCCAGCCAATTAAGCAGTTGATAAAATAAGTGGGTTCTCTTATATGCGTATGTCTAAAGACTCATGAATGCAAGATAGGTAACCTTAATACGGTTTTCTTGCCTTCCCAGAAAGATTTAAAAAATGCTTTTTAAAAAGGTCACATCACTTGGACTGTCAGCTTAGCTTAGAAAGATTGTTATAGTATTTAGACTTAAGAAAACCCAGCTGGCATTAATTGTTTCAGTTTCAAACACTGAATCCATTAGATCTACACTTGTTACCTGTAGCAAATACACAGAGTGTAACTAGAAAGGTAGGTTTTGGTAGACCACAGTTCAGAAGCAGGAGGGTTTTTACACCTTCCTCTCACTTTGGGTTCTCTTATTTGGAAAAGTACTGTGTCAGATGCAGAAAGAAGCAACTAAGTAAACCATGTTTAACATTATGAAGTGATACCAGCGTAAGTACAACATATTTTTGGAATGCATCTGTATTACTACTGTCTATAAATTACCCTAGAAGCTACAAAAATACTTTTTAGATTTGGCTGACTGACAGTTCTTTGGATAATCTGTAATCTTAATTAAAACATTTTAATAAGAATATTTGTTTTCCTCCAAACATACAGTTCTTTCATTTAAAATCATGATTGAAATTAGAATGGCCAGCATGAGTTGATTTCAAAATTGCAAGAGAACTGAGTCAAAAACAAACTTAGTCTTCCAGAATCAAAGTGCTGATGGTGATTCTAGGCACAAAAACATTTCCTCCCCCCTAAAAAACATTTCTGCATATTTGTAGTGCCCTGGTAGCATAATATAGAACAGCAAAAACCTTTTATGTACTAACAGCTAGTTTTCCTTAAACATCAAAGTGATACCACAAGTAAGGGGAATAAAGACAACAGTCTACTACTGCAAGCTTTACTCATTTTTTTATGTCAGTGGGGATGGGGGGTGGCTTTGGTTTTGAGGCTGTGCAATAAATTGTTCTAGTTCATCTTTTCATTCTGCACTGACGCTTGGCATAAACTGTTAACTTTACTAGTGCACATACGCTGCCTCTAAATACAGTTCAAACAACATCAATGCATTAAGACACACGTTAAAAGCGTTAAAGACAACGGTTCACCTGCTTGGTCCTTGGTTTAGTGTCACACTTGCATTTTCTGTTTGTGTGTTTGCTTTTTCCCAGCTGGTTCTTTCAGCTTTCTTCTTGCTTTGAGGCCTTCAACTTTCCTTCCGGATGATCGCCATCGCTTTCCTACAGCCAGCCCTGGCAGAGCGCTGGTTTTTCTCTCTTGTCATTTTGTTTAGTTTTTTAATCTTTAATTTCTCAGCCTTCTCTCAGTTAGGAGACTGAATTAAAAAAACAAGGGCAGGGGGACGGAAACCACAAATGTTCCAGTGAAAGTGACACACACAACCTAAATCAGCCTGTGTGGGTAACGCCATTCACCATCGTACCACCCAGAAGATCAGCACCTTTCCCATAAAGCTTGCAGACCCCTCCAGGGAAGGGCATGTCAGCTCACCCACAGCACTGTGGACGGCAGCCTCAACCCACGTGTCAGTCACAGCTTTGAGACCCCCAAACTCACCTCGGATACCTGCTCCCCAGTCAAATGCTTTGCTGCTGGACCCTCTTTGGGTGTGAGCTGCTGAGGAGTGCACCGTACGCTCTGGAGGCACAGGCGAGAGCACAGGACAGGCTGACAGGAGACTGGGGTTTTCTTAGGCTGCATTTTTTTATGAGTTTGGGGCGAGGATGCAGATCTCCAGCCAGCACTGCTCTGCCTGTTCCTTTCAACATACAGCCCATAGCCTGGTGGTGAGGTTTTTCCTTAATGAAAATAAACGTGTATGACCTTTAAATGAGTTTTGTATGGGCTGACAGATTTCCAGTATAAACTCAACATACTTCCCTAGATTTCAGCACCCATACATTAGGAAATAGATCTAACTACATATGCTTAAAGTGACTTTTACGATTTAAACAAAAATATTTCACAGAGCTTGGAAGGAAAAACTTATATACAAAAAGGAATACACTTTTATTGAAAAGTCCTGAGGTTTTCTCTGGCATATTCTGTGACATTTCTGCAACAGAAAGTGCTGGATAGGCATACGCTGAGATTCCCCAAAAGAAAAATACACGTTTTTCTTACACTATTAAGTTGATCTCAGTCTTGCTAATTATCAACTTGTTACTTAAACATGGGTATAAGTTTAAGAATTTCAGAATTTTTAATGCTTTTCTCATCACTGAATAAATGGAGGCTACAAAGTTATTTCCAAGATTGTGTGATTCTAAACACGTTTCTTTTAAAAAAAAAAAAAAAAAAGGGGCAAAAAAGCAGTTGATCAGATTTGGGCAGGTCTGTTTGATGACTTCACTGAAATTTCAGTATTTGCTCTTTTCCCCTGCTGTGGGAGAGGTGAAAGGTTTTGTCAGATTAAATACTTAATGTGAACTAGGTCAACACACTTGACTTGGATTTCTACTCTCTGTAAGAATGGGGCTGCCAAGCTGGCCCTCAACATGCCCCAGTCCAGGGGTGAACACAGTTATAGAATAGCACCCTGCTTCATTTAAAGTTATTATTTGTATATTGCATCTTTTTATTTCCTTGTTTGTTTTTTTGTTTGTTTGTTTTTTAAAAAAAGGCATTCACATTTAAAAAAGGGTATTCACATTTGGTAGGATTAGTTATCGTTTACCTTTAAGTTTTACTGAACATGCTTTGAGAATGCATGATTGTGGCAGGTTGTCCTATCATGCTATCCTCATTGCACCTCTGTATGATAGTTAAATGGCTGAGGAAGACAGCTTTTCAGAGATCAAGGCTGAAGATCCTGTTCTGACAGGCAGAACTATAACCTACCCTTGATTTCTCACCCAACATCCAAGCAAACGGAATGGCTGTTCTGCTGGTTTAGCACCAATGCCAGCGTAAGCTTCAACTTTCCCTGCAGTTGACTCCTGCTTGGCCAACTCAGGTGGGAGAAGCACACAGACACAATGAGCTGCACAGACTACTTAGTTGGATAGCAACAAGTTATAGTAGCTTATGTAGCAATTCCTATGCCAAAAAAGCCCAATTGAGTTAGAATCACCAATTTTGTTTGATGTAAGCACATTGGCAGAGATCTCAAATTAGGGGCAAATCTTGGGTTAAAATTAATTGTCATGAAAACCAATTTGAATTGTCCTGTAAATTGCATGAAATGAATGGCTCTTCAGCTGCCAGTGAGAAGCTGGCTGAGTCTGGTCTAGGAAAGACAGCTGCTCAGTCTGGATGAGTCTACAAAGCCATCCAAATCAAAGACACGTACTGTATGGAATGCTGAAAATGCAACTCAAACCAAAAAAGTGTAAATTTCTGTATCAGTTA